TACATTTTTTACATAACTTTTTTTTCTGGACTTTTTTTTTCCGATTACCGTATTATGTTTGGGACTTGTATAGGCAACACATCGTACACATTCTTATCAATGTCTGGTCAGGTCAATAATAATTTTATCTGATTAGTGGCTAGTTTTATACTTTTTGGTTTACTGCATGGACTAACGGTTACGCTTGGACCACTGATTTTACCGGCTGAATTCTGTGGTTTAACCGGAGTTCAACTATTGTATTACGGGCCCATACTCCTTAGTAATGTCTATACTCTATTGTCCAACTCGCGTCTCATAGTTGAATAGTTCAAATACGACACACGTAAGTAACTTGTCTGAGGTCTCTAAAGTTTTAAGTTTTTGCTGAAAGTAACTTAATGATTTACTTCGTTCACACAAATACACAATGTATTATAATATCATGGTTTTCAAAACTGAAATATAATAATTAATAATACCTATGATGTAGGTACAATGGTACATACGAAGAACTATGAAGTCGAGCCAATGAATTGAAAATGTTTGAGAAGTTGATTTTCTTTAAGGCAATTCTACAGACCAAGTATACATTATAAATATTGCAATTCAAGTTATAAAAACCTCAATATTAAAGTGAATACTAAAACTTAAAAGTAAGAATATTATTGTGGGCACTTCATGGGATATTATTGATTTATTAATTTAAAAGTGAGTTATCTGTATGACCCTATAACTACATTATATTGTCTGATATCATTATGCTATATAGTTATATTATAATATATCTAATTGTGTGTGTAGAATTATATTTGTGTCCAAAGGGCTCAGCCAATTAAGTCATAATAAATAACTATGTTAAACAAATTATATTAGGTACAAGCTTAAAATACACATAACTTGCTTTAAAAATAAAATGTAAATAAATATATCTGTTAGGTTCTTTAGAAAATATTTTTACTCTATGTTTATTAAAGCTAACATTACAAAATAGGATCTGTTTTACACGCATTTTCTGTGTTGCTCATAGGTCAGAGAGAAAACAAATAGTGCACTAACATATTTTTAACAAACTTTTAATTTGTAGTTAATATATTTCGGAACCAGCATTCATTTTTATTAGCACGAAGCATCTGAACATATTTAAATTTCAAATAACACATAACAAGTTTGAAAATTCAGTGTTCGGACAATTGGAGGATGTGATTCATTTTGGAACATTGCTGGTAACTTTATGACACAAAATACTAACTAAAATTTTATTGAAGTGTCCAATTATGTGAAAATTGTAAACATAGTTAATTTTTTTACAAGAGTTGTACACCTTAATTGGCTTAATACTAATTTTTTTATTTATAATCATAGCCTCCCTTAGGGAGGGGGGCAAAGGGGACAAGTGCTCAAAGGAATCCATCAATTTAGGGAGCGTCCAAAAGCAAATAATAAAAAGAAAAATTTGGTAAGATAATTAGATTAGATAATAATTTTCAATTTTATATTGTAATACCGAAGAAAATTACCTATCAAATATCTTATCGAAGAGTCTCGCTAGAGACTCCTTTCTGTGCATAAGTAACACCGATAAGAAACAGCACCTTGACAACCGATAGCGAGACTATTATACATTAAGTTTCGGCACTCGCACGCATTGGTTGAATGCAGAGTGCGAGAGAGACAGAGCTAAAAACTGCAGTTTTGTGATATTATTATACTGTTAACTATTAAGTATAAAATTATGTAAATAATGAATTAAATATATACATACATGCCTATAATAATAATGTATAAATATCAATATTATCAAAGGATAGAATATTATTGATACATTATTAATGATGATATAATATGATTACAAATTATAACTTTGTAGGTACTATAAAATTACCTTGTAAGTACCATAACAACATACCATAGATTTAATTTTATATTACAACATTTTCTTATGCTTATAAAAATTAAATAGTTTAAAAATATTCCAAAATATTTTGAACATTTTCAAGTTTATTTTTTAGAGGTATACCAAAACACAAAATCAACTTTTTCAAAAACTGGTTTGCTTAAAAATCTAAGTTTTTCTTAATAATTGGTTTATTTTTCTTGATGCTTTTGGAAAGTTCTGGGAATTTTTTACTTTTGACCCTTTAAAGTACCAATTAGATTCTTTTTGATACCAGAAACGATGCTGAAGTAGAAAAGCTGTGAAGCATTTTTACTGAACCAAAATGTAATGACACAAAAATAAAATAAAATCATTAAAAACACATCATTGTAAAATCAATACAATCATCGCTCCACTCAGAATCTAAATCCCACTGTGCAAAAATCAGTTCAGGAGAAGTCACATAGAACTCATTTTGTGATGTGCGATGTTAAGAATGTAGACAGTAAGAAGTCTATAGGCAGGGCCGTATTTACACTTTTTACGCACTGGGTTAACAAATAATGTTTGAAAAAAATAAAAAAATGTTTTACGATTTGCGTATAAATTAAATGTGTAAGTACTTACTTGATTTTACAAAATTTAATTTTTTTTGATTGGGGTTTTGAGCTTCCTTTCTTAGCAAATATTTCTCCTTTTTTTTTAGCACTTCCGCTTTTATGTGATGTTTTGGAATATTGTCCACTTTATCCATGACCAAACACCTATTTCTTATAATTTCTTACCTTCATACACCAAGTATAGTTTTTAAATTGTCTATTAAACCAATTGTATTGCAATAATTATATTGTTTTGAAAATAACACACAAATATATACCTAACTATCAGTTTCTTTATTAATTTTAAATAATATATTTCCTTATACTAAAATAATATAATTTTTTATTAGATTTAAAATATAAGTGCTTTTTTACTTGCGGGAGTCTTAGGTGCAAATATGTTAATAACATCTTATTTGTTAATTTCTATGTCTTGTTCACAAGATATTTTCATCAAATCTTTTAAACAATTTTCAGAACTTATGAAGTAGTAGTGCGAACTATGAAGTCGTGCCTCAATTATTTTAAGCTAGTAAAATGTTAAGAAAATGCAGCAGACGAAACTTAAGTCGCTCAGCGTCAGCAGGATACCATTGGACCACCATTGAAAAATAAAAGAAAAGATACATTAAAACATCTTTGTAAAGAATACAGTTTATTAGAAAATAAAATAAAATTTTCTATTTTTAAAGCCTTTTTCTAGATTTTTAGAAAATAGTTGTTATTTTTTAACAAATTATTTAATATTTTATTTTATTGTGTGTATACTGTATTTATAAAAAAATTATTTTATACTTCAACTTAGGTAAAGTATTTTGAAGACTTTTAAAATGTATTTGTATTAATATCCAGATAATTTTGAAATACAAATTTCACCAAGTATTTAAATGCGTATTCTACTATTCTGAATACATTTGAAATGTATCCTTAACAAGACAGCTCTTAGGGCAGGTAAATACGACATGAGTCATGTTGTTATAATGGAACATTGTGAAAAATTATGTAATAATTGTTTTTTAGGTACTAAATGCTAACTACTGTTAAAGATAATTCATCAAATTGGAAATTTAATTAAATCTTAATACTAAATGTATTTAATGTATTGTAATACATGAAGGAAAAAATAAATACAATATTAATAAATAATGACTTTAAATATAAATTTCTCTAAAAAAGTTTTCATAATTATGAATTAGTTTCATCCAAATACAGTCAACTCGCGATATAACGAATATCGATATAACGAAAATCTTGATATAACAAATAAAACTACCGGTCCCTTGAAAATATTGTGGTATAATATAATTTCGATGTAACGAACTTTCGATATAACAAATTTTTTTCTCGGTCCCTTGAAATTCGTTATATCGCGAGTTGACTGTATACACAAAAATATGTTTACCACTATAACACAAATTGTATGGTAGTACATATTATATAGGTACTAACATGTATATCTACTTTCTTGAGTACACATTATGTAAGTTTGTAGGTTCAGTGGAAGTGGTTGCAATGGTTCATTACAATTGTAAATGCTCTCTTTTTCTCCCTTTCTGAGGATACTATTTCCCTATATTCAATTTAAACTGTGTCTATATTTTCTAGAATTACATAGTCGTTTTAATTGTCTATAATGCATTACTTGAATATGAGTTTTACATTTTGCAATTAATATATTGAAATTATACCTTGAAAAACAAGTGTTTATTGTTGTTTCTGACCTGATACATGACTCAAACTATCTCCGCCATTTGAATCTATAAAAATAGTATAATTATATATTATTATTATTTTATAGGAAAATTATGTTATACAACATCACATATTTATTTAACGATAAAATAGTTATTTCATATAATATTTAATTTATGTTATTTAAATTTATAATACATTTCAGTTGTATTAACAATAAGATTTAAAATTTAAAATTTGTATTGTACCATTGCTGTCATTTGAAATATTGAGAAAATCTAATATCATCTTGTATAATATTGTCTTTGGTTGCATCATTGTATAACTTATAACTATGTTATTAGGAATATATTAATTTGTCACATCATGGTCATTTTCTGATGTAACATACTACATACATACATGTTTAATATTATATTATTTACAATATAAACGAGTTATTAACAATATTAGAGTACTTCACTAAATACAAATCTGTTGAATTAAATATACCTCTTAACACATTTATCTGCCAATTAAGCTCTTCAATTAAGTATCTTTCTGTTGTGTGACAGGCGACAGCACTGTAAAAGGAACTCATTTACTCTTAAAATACTTAGCTCAGAGCTCTAATTGAGATGAAGCAATACTAATAAGTTGTGAATTTGCTGTGTAGTTTGTTATATATCTTAGATCATTACTAGTAAAGTAGTAAATATTTTATTTATTATAGATTTATAACCCCGTAGTTTTAATTTTAATTTTAAAAATTATGAAGAAAACAATTAATAGGTATAGGTACATATATTCTTGATAGTAACATAACTCAGGCTTCAAAAATTATATACATTTTATAGGTATAGTAAATTGTATTATTTTACAAAAGCTTTATAATTAAAATTTAGTCCATACTTATTCAAAAATATCCAAAGGTTTTTATGCATCAATTGAAATATCTCTTTTAGTTGTCCATAGAACAATTGAATATTATTATTTTTAAGTCTTGCTATTCCATCAACTGAAAACAAATAGTCACCTCCATTTTGATTATTTAACCAAAACCTGAAACAAAACAACATAAATTTAATTAAAAATATATTGTTTATTTATTAACATAATATTATACACATGGGTAGATATGTGGAACACACATTGAAAAATGATTGAAGAATGGTGCCATATCCTTAAATATGTTCTTTTCTCTGACATACTGGCGAATTACTGTATATCCTTCATCAATTTTATTTGTACGTAATAATGACAATGCAGAATCCATCATTGTGCATTTAAATTTGATTTTACAAATCACGTTACTGTTCTTGTTCAGATATTTTTTACTAGTGTCTGAAACAACAATGATAATAAACAATGTTGTTTAGGATTTACCATGCATACAAAATAAAATAAATCTACTTGAGTATTTTAAACTTGGGCAATGTATTATTTATTAAATTTTTTTTTTTCATTAATCCATTGAATGGCAGTAGTAAATATGGAAATAAAATTGTAATTGAATTATTTTAACAATTGAAGGACTCACTGCAAAAACAAGGCAAGTCACATTTTACTATTTTTTCAGGACAAGCAAAACCAAATTCAACTATTAAACTATTATTTTATTGTTATTCAAAATTATTTTTATATAAATTGCATTAAAAAAATATTGGATGTTGCACAATAGATGATACTGTCATTGTAATTTTATAACTGAATTTAAATAATAACGGCTACAATATGTTTAAATAATCACTAGCAAACCTGTAAAGAATAGAACCAATATGAATGCTGATTTCCTGGATAAACAGATTTAAAGAATTCAGCATTCAGCAATCCAGATTAAAAATTAGTCAGTATACCTATTTACTGGCATTAGAAATTGAAATAATATAATTTATGCCTCTTCACTCCAGTGGCGTCATTTCAGTTTTCAATAGAGGGGGCAAAGGTTGGGTACCCTAATGGGTAAAAAAAAACCGCTCGCAATCACAAATTATCTTCTTACATTTTTTTATGATACCCTTTTTATTAACTTGATAAACAAAAATATTCCCTAGTAGTTTATTAGGATACCTATCTTCTTTTTTTTTTAATATATCAACTGCATTATCATTAAATCTATTTTACCTGATTAATCACTTATAGCCCATACTCTATTACTCTTTTATACGTATACGATATATTTACAAATTAATATTATCTTAAATTATAGTATATATATTTTTTAATTGCTTGCTTATCGGCTCAAGTTTTGTCTGTTTATTAAACATACCAGAAATTATTTTCGATTCTTAAGAAGTTAGCGGTAATTTTATATTTTTAGCCGCACCACCCGTTTATTTTTTTTTTAAGTCATATTTTGCCCAAATTAAAAGATTAAGGAGGCTCCAGTCGGTTGTGTTTTAAGGAAATTAATATTGGCAATTTAACATGAGGACATTAAAATGACTTGTAAGTGTGTGCAAAGTAAATGAACATTAGTGTGTGTGAGTTTAATCTGTATTAGTTTTCGGTCAATATTTCCTAGAAATGTCCTGAATTATAACAGTAGGCCCCCATAATACGGCCCGGTTTATAGGACATTATTTATATTCGTCGGCAATTAACTTACGTACGCTCAAGCATTGACGGAGATTTTAAATTATAATTAATTTTTATAAATTTAAAATAATCGGGTTTTAGACCAATAAGCTAGACAAAACTGGAGGAATTTGGTTTGACGGATTTTAATTATGAAAACGGATTATGATATTGATTAACTAATTTCTAGGTTATGCCAGAGGCGATTTTTAATATTCAAATTATTGTTTGTGTCTTGATGAATACTATAAATACAAAAATTTCATATTTTTTATTCTTGGATATCACAGCTAAGAAAAAATATTAAAAATCGCCTCTGGCATAACCTAGTAAACTTGCTAATCAATCATAATATGTTTTCAAAAATAAAATCCATCAAACCCAATTCCTCCAGTTTTGTCGAACTTATTGGTCTAAAAGTCACTTTTTTTTCATCATTTTTTTTAGCCCTTAGGGCTAGTTCACACGAGAGCTGTTAATCGCGAGTTTATAAAATTTACACAGGATGAATGACAACGCGATTTAACGTGCCGGAAAGCTGTAAGGCTAGGTTCACATGAAGAGCGTTAAACGCGCGTTAGCCAAACGTCCAAATCATCAATAACATTAGTTGGGTCCATTTTAAAAAGAAAATTTTTACACAAATTTTATTGTCACATTAAGTTAATTTTATTCCTAAACCACAGATTACAAATAGTTTTAATTTTGTAAAAATTGATTTTATAAAAAAAAATAGTAATAATCCGAAATATTTAATATATTAATTAATAAATAATAATGGTAAAAATAGTAATTATATTGAATATTCACAGAATATAATAATATTATGTAGGTACTCATCATTGATTCAAGTATGTATACGTACCTACAGTAATTCATTTTAATACATAAATTATACATTTATTTAAAAATGATAAGACAAGTTAATAAAAGGTGGACAGGCGTGGGTACCACTTTACTGTACAGTAGTTGTCAAACATAGATGTGTTATATTTGAATTCAACGTTAAATCTTTGTATACGAAACGATTCTGAATGGAGACGTTCTGTCAGCCTAGCATATTTTTTAATAGTTAACATTTTTTTTCATAAAAATTGAAAATATCTCATGGCCTTCTGGTGAACTTTTTTTGTTTCATTAAGGTGGACAAACTTGTTGGGAACCTACTATTAAAATGTATTATGTTAGCTATGGAAAGAAAAACTTTTATGAATTTATAACTGAAATATAATTTACAAAAATTGAAAATTTTCTCATGGCTATAAATAGCTCATAAAAAGTCAACATTGTTTGAAAATGTTACCATTTATGGAAAATTCTAATATAAAAATTTGGTGAAAATTTCAAGGTCTACGATTTTCATGCGAAGTACATCAAAAAAATAATATCCTTTTTTTTCAAAAATTGATTTTGCGTAAAAGTTACCACTTTTCTTTTGTTTTCTTGCCACTTTATAAAAATACATGGAATTTTCATTTTTTACTTGCCAAAAGTAGGTACCATCTAGATTCAATTTTCTATCAAAAAAGATGCTGATCTCGAAAATAGGAAGAAAATTGAAAATATTGTTTGCAAAGTTATGTAAGAAATGGAAATTCAGGTGACCGGACGGCAAAATGTACGCCGTGTGTTCACTCATATTATTTTATATGTATTTACTTATGGTCATATTTTTATGGTCCACTGGTTTTTTGACGGCCGGTCGCGGTGCTCCTCCAAGCTCGGTCGCCGGTCGAAAAATATCCCGGAGCCGGCGAACTGACCAGCCGTCAAAAAACGTCAGTGTCTGTTTACCACCATCTAACTTTATATATAAAAAATCCGGTCGTCTGTTCGGACTAGGCTAGGTTCACATGAAGAGCGTTAAACGCGAGTTTACAAGAACTATACAATTGCCATTGACTGTTCATATGATAACCAGGCACGTAGCCAGAAAATTTCTACTAGGGGGGCCAATAATGTTTGGCCCTTTTATTACTTTCCAAAATTTTTCTTTATGAAATTCTTGTAAGGGGTATGCAATACAAAGAATCTTATTAATTTAAATAATTTACCTTTAGTTGGTACCTAATTGGTTAAAATTATTTTTTTCACAACAAGTTATACCTAATACTTGCTTATTTAAGAATTACAAAAATAGAAAGTATCTGATAACAAAAAAAAAAAAATAAATATAGAATTACCTACATCTTCACTTATGGGATACATTTTTCATGCTATGAAAAATAAATCTACATACATATTTAAAATAATAAGCTGCTTCAATTGTTTAACTTCAAAAATTAATTCATATTTGAATACTTATCAAAAATAATAGAGATAAATGATCATCGATTTTTAAATTAATATAATTTTTAAAGAAACTCAAATTTATTAAAAAAAAAAAAAAAAAACACATACTAGTAGAAAATATTAATAATACACTTATACTTATATAAATATTAAACAGTGCAATATAAAATAATTTTTCTGTTTTTATGATTTTCCGAAAACAATTGTACAAAAATATCTAGATCTAAGTTTTTAGAATTTTTTTTTTATGCTCATTGAAGCTAAATTATTTAAACGATCATTTGTCATTCGATTCCTCAGAAAGGTTTTCAGTCGTCTCAGACATGAAAAAGTTCTTTCGCAAGCTAACTTAGCATAGACTTATAACTGCGTATAATATATTATTGTTTTTAAAAAGGGTATCAAGACCCTATTATATTGTATTTTTTTCAGATAAAGTTATCCACAGTTCCCCGAATATAAAAATTAAATTATTACAATAATAATTGTATTACCTAATAGTAATCACAATAGATTTCTCTCAATGTGCATAATCACATTTTTGAAAATTGGTAAAAATAATTATATTTTGAATTTGGGGGGGCCGGCCTTGGGCCAGAGTATATTTAGGGTGGGCCCGGCCCACCCAGGCCCCCCCTGGCTACGTGCCTGATGATAACGCGCGTTGGAGTGCTACGCGCATCTAACGCAGCGATAATGCAAGTACCCTGTCTACGAGCGTTAACTTGCGTTAGAACATGTCATAACATTGCATAGATTTGCATTGATGTGTTCAGTTGCAACGCAAGTTTTGAAGCGAAAAGTGCTTGTTGTTCAATATTTACATCTGTTCAAAAAGTTTTCCTCAAAATCAAAAATGGATAGTGAAGAATTTGATACTGATTTATTCATCGACAAAATTGAAAAAAGGCCCCCAATTTGGGACATCTAAACGAAAAAGAAAAGAATGTAAGAAAGAAAAAATGTCTAGGTAATATTATTATTAACTATTTTATATTATATTCTTATAATTCTTATTTAATTATGCAATCAAATTTTTACAATGAAATAATAATGGCTATTAATAGTCATGAGAAAATGTTTTAAATGTTGTAAATTATTATTTAGTTAGATATTCATAAAAGTTTTTCTTTTTATATCTAAGATTAAAAATGTTAATAAAAGGTTAGATTAGGTTATTTTAGTTATTTTTTCCACCTCTATCATTAGGAAAGAGTTCAACGGAAATTTAAATGTAGAAATAAATTTTATTAATTTATTAATTAAATATTAAATATATAATATGAACATAATTGATTTATTAAAAGTAATTTGTATGTACAAATTTATATCATACGGTCTTGCCATTCTACTCTTCAGTCTTCCTTCATTCGTAAAATAATCCATAAATTTATCTTGAACATTATCTAC